CTCTCCTAGGTTGCCATGGCTGACCATGAACTTGGAATCCCTCTGCCGTAGCCCTCGTGTAGCTAGGAGTACTGGTGTGAGCCTGCATGACCAGTGGAGGTCGGCTCTGTTCTGTAAAGTTTAGTGAATTTTTTGGTGGTGCTGACAAGTGAAGCCAGGGCTTCATCCATGCTGACAAATGTTCTGCTACTGAGATACAGCCTGTTCAATGAATTTTGACAAATGCACCCACCACTAGGGTCACATACAGAGCAGTTTCACTGCTTCCCCTGCTCAACTCTCCCTATCCCTAGCAGCCACTGATCTGTTTACCATCTGTGTTTTTCTTCTTTTTCAGAATCTTAGAGTTGGGTTCTTATAGTATAGTCTTTTCAGACTGGCTGCTTTTGTTGGGTGACATGCATTGCTCCAGAGTATGGTTATAGTGATGTCTTGTGTGGTTATAGTGATGTCTTGTAGGTATCGACTTGCTGACTTTCTCATTGTCTGCATTTTGTTTTTCTGTCCTCTGAATCAGCTGCTACAGATTGGTCTCTGATCCAGGGACTGGCTCAGCCTGATTCCTTTGGCCAGATCTTAAGTTGTGCTAGGTCTTCTTTAACGACACACAGATCTGATCCACTTGATGTTGAACAGACAGATTCTTAGATTGGAAGTAGATAAACTCACTTTGGAGACTTAAATGATCTGCCATATAGATACTTGAATCATCTTCTAGTATTTTATGTTGGCAGGCACTTGTAGAAAGTGTTGAAGAACAGGAATTAAAGTAGAATTGAGTGTTAGTAATAGGTATCATGACTTGGTAGCAGCTCTTATATATAAGACTCTGGGAACCAAAGGAGAACAGCAGGTTAAAATAAGGCTTCAGGGTGATCTGCTTGCTCCATGTGCATGTGCAATTGGCACTTGGGAAGCTGAGGCTGCTTGGCTGAGTCATTAGTACCAGAGCCTTTTACTTCATCCCTGCTTCTGCCAGATGTGTGACGTGGGCTTCCCATTTGTGATTGTGATACTTCACATGTATCCAGCAGTTTACATTTTTGTAGAGCACTTGTCACACATAACGTCAATTGGTTTGGTACTCTTGGTAGCCTTTTTCGGTAGGCCTGGCAGGTGGGTCTCTTGGCCCGTTTGAGAACACAGCTAGCTGGTCCTTCATTGGTCCAATGAAGGTTTTGACTAGGTGGATGCTGAGATCTATGTTAGCGCRCTGTCTGTGTTGAAGGTCCGAGTTTGGCTCTTCAGGGTCTCCAGAGTTGTGGGTTTGTTTGAGAAGTTGGTCTGATTCCAGTCAGGTCTTCAGCTTCAGGTCTGCCCTTGGTTTTTCACAGACAGTAGAATGTTTTCACCTGGTGCTTCAATTATATCAAGTTCATGGTGGTAAAAAAGTCACTGTATGAGAATTAGACTTACCTTCTTAAACTTATCTGCTTTTAATGGAGCAGTTGAAAGTGTGTGACTTGTGTGCTGATTTTTTAGTTGTAGATATGGACACAATACCTTTTTTTAAAAAAATATTTTTTAGTTATAGGTGGACACAATGTCTTTATTTTACTTTTATGTGGTGCTCGCCTTACACATGCTAGGCGAGAGCTCTACCTCTGAGCCACTACCCCGGCCCAATACCTTTATTTTTATGTGATGCTGAGAATCGAACCCAGTGCCTCACAGGTGCTAGGCAGGCGCTCTCCCACTGAGCCACAACCCCAAGCCTGTGGGCTTGTTTTTATGGTGCCCAGTTACTTCTTTGAACTGGACTGTTCAGTGAGTTGTCTGCCCACTAGTGTGAGGCCTTGTGTTTGACTGCAAGGGCTGTGCTGTATAGTGTTGAGCTCTCTGCTCAAATTCCATCTCTCACGTACAAACTTCTCTGATTTTCCCCCAACCCTCCATGATCAGATATGCTTTTCTTCTTTTAATCATAGTATTTCATGTATGTCTTCAAGTATATTTGTGTAGATTCTCTGTGTGTTGTTTATTATTATGCTGTGGTTTCTCACCCCTTTTAAAACATACACCTCAGTGACTTTTCATAAAGTGAATGTGCATCACCACTGCAGGGGGCACGGGGATGGCACTCATCACCCCAGGACCCCCCTCAAGCCACTGTGTCCCTCCCCTGGCCCTCTGGGAATCATTGGTGTAGATTTCCACAGCCCTTGACTGGCTTTGCTGCTTCTGTGAGGGGAGCCCGCCATATGCATTTGCCTGTCTCACTGCTCCCCTCAGTGCGGTGTGAAGTCCTGCACCCCGCAGAGTGCCCCATAGGCCCCTTGCTTTGCTGTGTAGTCTTCTATGAGCTGATCACACATCCATTCATCTTTCCTCATGGGGAATATTTTGCCTACTTCTTATGTTGGGATATTACAAATAACATTGCTGTGAAATTCTCTTCTGCAGTGTCTTCTGTTGCACGTAAACCTAGAAGTGGAATTGCTGGGTTTCGYGTAGTTTGATACTGGCTTTCCCTGTATTTGTGAAATTAAGAAACCTACAACAAATGGAGCACTGTGTGAATGTCACATAGTTTCGTAGAGTTCCCAGAGGTTCGGCTTTTGCCCTTCATTTATGCCTCTGTATGCCTTTCTTCCTGAGTCCTCTGGAGTTTGTTGTAGACTCTCATGGTATCTACCCTTAAGTGCACCTCCCCTAAGAACCAGCTCATTATTCTCCATAACCACAGTGCAGCGATCCCAATCTAAGTGTAGTTTTAATAGAATCATATATTTTTTGGGGGGGGGGATCATTTTCTAACATATCCCTGTTTAAATGCCCCACTTGGTAGCCTTTCGAAACTCTAACAAAAACCAGAGATAATCAGTTTATAAGGAGAAAAGGTTGATTTTGGCTGACAATTTTGGAGGTTACAACCTATGTCTGTTGGTCTCATTGCTTTGGGATTGTGGCAGGCAGCACATGGTGGCAGGAGCCAGTGGCTGAGCAGAACTGGTTATTCACAGTGCCTTCCAAGGGCATGCCCCCAGTGGCCCAGAGACCTCCCACTAGGCCCCTCTGTTAAATGAGTTCCCATCACCTCCCAGTAGCTCCAAGCTTCCAAATCCAAGCTACAGYTCTACTTTCCCAATAATGCTGCTTATGACTTGAGATCATTTGGTCATAGGATTCAGCCCAGGATCATGCAGTGCATTTTTTTGTGTGTCTCTTCAGGTTCTGTTCATCTAGAGTTCTCCAGCTTTTTGTCTTTTGTACATGGTATCTTTGGAGAGCACAGAAGAGATATTTTGCAGAGTCAGTTTGGACTTTTTGAGTTTTTCTCCTGAGCAGAGTCAGGTGTGGACCTTGCTGGAGGCAGTGCTGTGTCATGGATTGGGTTGTTTTGCTGGGGAAAGTTCAGTTTGATTAAGGTGGTGTTGACCCAAGTTCTCAKTCCTAAAGGAAGCTTTTATGTTTTGAGTTTCTAGGTAAAATCACATGATATAAAATTAACCATTTAAAGCCATACACTTCCGCAGCTGTGCGTGTGTGCTCAGTCCTGTGGCCACSACCACCTCCTCGGGCTGCAGCCCGTCTTTACCCTGCTCTCCTCCCCAGCCCTGGCAGTCTGGGTCCTCTCTGTGGTCTCAGTGTTCTGTGTTGGCCTTTGGTGTCGGGCTTCTTTTACTTGGGTCATGTGTTCAAGGGTTGCTGCCTTGCGGCTTGTCAAGTCCTCCTTCCTGTTCATGGCGAATTGCACTCCACTGCAGTTTGTCTGCCCCATCATCATTTGGCGGGTATTTGRTCTGTTTCTGCCATTTTAGCTTTTGTGAATTACTGAAAATTTTTTACCCAATGGTTTTAGAGTCCGTTGCCGATTTTTGCTCGAATCAGATATTACTATGGTTATAGAGTGGAGATTTTATATTTTTGGCCTTCCACTATAATTGTTAGTTGGAATTCACCTGTGAAGATGACTTAGAGTTAGTGTGTGTGTCTCTAGTATTAATTTCAATATGGGCTTGGAATTTTTACTCAATGTAAATGATTTGTTCTTGCTGGAATTCCTTAAGATGTCATCTCCTTTTAGTTGTCCCCTGTAGTGCTGAAAGTCAGCCTTCCTTTTGAGTGTTGCGGTTGCATAAGAATTGTTTACCACTGTGCTCATACTTGCTGCTGTTAAAATGTTTATGTGGTCTATTTCTTAGCAGTAAATTGTTGTTACTTTTTTCTTGTTTGTGTATATTGCTTTGATTCAACCTCTCCTATTCCGTGTGTGTGTGTGTGTGTGTGTGTGGGGGGGGTGTTTTCTTTTTGGAGGTTGGTGGCTGGGGGATCAGGTATTGAACCCAGGTGCTTAACGACTAAGCAATATCCCCCACTCTCTCCCCCCCACCCCACCCCTGCTCTTTTATTTTTTTGAGACAGGGTCTTGCCAAATTATTGAGGCTGACTTTGAATTTGCCATCCTCCTGCTTCAGCCTCCCAAGTTGCTGGAATTACAGATGTGCACCACCCCCTACAGCTGTGTGTAGTTTCTGTTTTGCTTTTTTGCTTCTAGGTGTGTGTGCTCTCGAAACCAGGGTTATCAAGCCTCAAATGATACTCACAGTGTGGGTAGCTGGCCTGCAGTGGGACAATGCCCTGTCGGTTAGGGTACCTGTTGGGATTGGGGAGGAAAATGTGGTAAACATGCTACTAGCTTTTYGGGCTTTGTTTTTGTTTTTGTTTTTCCACAGTACGGTCATGCTATGTTGCTGGGCTGCCTTCATCTCATGATTCTCTTGCCTTAGCTCCCCAGGTAACTGGGATCACAGGTGTGTTACCACCACACCTGGCTACTTACTRGGTTTTGACATTGAGGTCATGGGCTGTGTTTTCATATGGCGCTAATTTTAAGATAAATGAAATAAATCTCTTTAAGGGGAATTGAAAGGATGAACAGTCATTTGCAATAAAATTCCCTTTCCTTTCCTCCAGGATGGCTTGGCTTGGCTTCGGCATTTCCCTTTTACCTCTCCTGTTGCTTCCTGCACTACTTACTGATTCTCTTTGAATTTTAGGCAAAGTCCTGCGTCTGCCATGTCTGTGGCGTCCACCTGAACCGTCTCCACTCTTGCCTCTACTGCGTCTTCTTTGGCTGTTTCAATAAGAAACACATCCACGAACACGCCAAGTCCAAGCGGCACAACCTGGGTAAGGCGCCCTCCTGAGGCAGGAATGGGCATCGCCCAGCTCTCTGTCCTGTAAATTTTGTGATTGTCTCCATGTAAAACACTACAGGGGAAGTGAAGGGTATAAACTGAGCTCAGATGGATGATGTGCCCAGTTTGCCTGAAGATTTATTAAGTTGTTTTAACATTTTATGTGACTTTAAATGATAAATGGCAGCTACTGTTTGTTGTGTTTGGCTAACTTTCTTTGAAACTTTGATGTGTATTCTTCAGTGCTTTCCCAATGAATGAATATCAGATCTTCATTTTTCCCTTTGAAATATATAGTAGGAACCAAAGTAGGCAAGTTCATGAAAAGACAAGTTCAACATTGTGTGGCATCAAGATACATTTCTTTCATATGCTTAAAAATTCAAACTCCTTGGGCTGGAGCTGGAGCTCAGTGGTAGAGTGCTTGCCTAGCATGCTTGAGGCCCTGGGTTCAATCCTCAGCACCACATAAAAATAAACAAAATAAAGGCATCTGTCCATCTATAACTACAAAAAACTTTTTAAAAATTCAAACTCCTACATTCTGAAGTTACTTAAACTGTTTTATTCTTGGCTTTATTTAGTTATTCGGCTCTGGAGAATGGAACCCAGAGGTGCTTTACCAATGAGCCACATCCCCAGTGCTTTTTATATTTTGAGTCAGGGTTTCACTAAGTTGTTTAGAGCCTTGATTAGTTGCTGAGACTGGCCTTGAACTTGGCAGTCCTCCTGCCCCAGTCTCCCAAATCATTGGAAATACTGTTGTCATTAAATATTTCTTTCTTTCCTGCAAAGTAGCACCTTCAGTTAAATGCTTGTGAGGTCTTGAGACTCTCCTTTACAAGATCATTTTCAGAGAGTCCAAGCTAGAGAAACTCTTTTGGAAAACGCTTCATRTGGACCTAGCAAAAGATGTTTTTCTGCTTCTTTTCCTAAAAATCTGTAATCTCATGCTCTCTGGAACACATTAGCCTAAACATCCTAATCACAAACAACGTGATGCAGGTTTGTCACGTTGCTGCACAGACTCCCTGTAGGCAGTGTACACGGGAAGCCTGAGCCCCGTGTTTTGGTTAAGACTAAAGTAGACACGTGTCTTCTGTAGTCTCCTTGAAAGAGCGAGGAGACTGACAGCAGAACAGGCGTCTGGGTTGTGTGATGTGTTTATGAGCCAACTGCTGTGTTGTGGGGGCACGGAGGCTGTCACCTCAGCATCATGCTGGGTGCAGCAGCACTTTTGTTGTAAAGGAAACGTTTCTTAATTTCTGTTTGACATGTACTAGTTCATATTAAAGCAAATACAAAAATTCATCAAATAAAAATCCATTATCGGCAGGGCACAGTGACTCTCACCTGTGATCTCCGTGCCCCGAGAGACTGAGGCGGGAGGACTGCAAGTTGGGCCAGCCCTGGCCACTTAGCATTAACATCGCATGGCATCAAGATGAATTTATCTTTTATATGCTTAAAAAATAAAAAGGGCTGGGGATGGCGCTCAGTGGCAAAGTGCCCCTGGGTTCAGTCTCCATCGCCCTTCAGCCATTTATCATGTGGCTTTGTAATTCACCTCAAGTTTTGTGAGGGGCCATTTATTTATTTATTTTTGAGATAGGAGAAATTATAGTAACTCRGTCATCTCCGGTGGACCTGATTTCCATCTAATAGCAATTGTCTGTAAAAAGACTGCTTGGAATTGGGGGCTTCGGTTGTAACAGTGAGCTAACTGGCCTATCGGGGAGGAGAGCCAATGGTGCATAGGGCTCTGGTCAGCTACAAACCCAAAGGGGGCCCCACAGTCAGTAATGACTTTTTGTATTGGATGGGTGAGAGAAGGGATACTGAGAGGTCAGTGTGGCTGTGATAGACATCTGTGATATCTACTTTTAATAGTACAAATGACSTGTTTCTGCTGTAATTGAATTTCAGATCAGTTTAGAACCAGATAATGGTATGGTTAAAAGAATATGGAATATTGGAAATATATTTTTACTTAAAAATTTTCTGGAGAATCTTATTAACCCAACATGATCTGTAAATATCACTTTGTAAATGTGATGTTAATTCATTTTAGCAACCTGAGTGGTAAATTTTGCCCTTACTTCAACTAGAATGAGTAAGCTTTTATAAATGTTGCTTTAGGAAACAAAACCATGGAATGGGAGAAAGATGTGGCCCTCTGGTGTGTGTTTTGTGTTTCGTTTACGACGTGATGCATGAATAGGCTACTTCCAATGCCCATATCTTTTTTGTTTTTGTTTTTGTTTTTAGTTTTAGATGGAYACAATACCTTTATTTTATTCATTTATTTTTATGTGGTGCTGAGGATCAAACCCAGTGCTTCACACATGCCAGGCAAGCACCCTACCACTGAGCTATAACTGCAGCCCAAGTACCCACATCTTTGATTCTGCTCCTGCGTCCACCTGCAGTCTTGTAATTGTGTTATAATAAATTTCTCTCCATCTGAGAACCTCGTCAGTCTCCTTTTTTTTTTTTTGGTAGAAGAAAATAATCATTGGTTCTGAAACCTAAACCTATTTTTTCAGTCACTTTCAGTATCAATTTTTATGTGAAGAAGAAAAAAACTCACTACTTTGGATTTAAATTTTGATAAGACAGAGCTCAAAAATTTGACAAGTACATTTTTTTCTTTTGTTGTTTGTGCTTTCAGTGTTATGTTCAAGAAATCATTGTCAAATCCAAAGTCATGAAGGTTCCCCCCGCCTTTTTTTCCCCTTAAGTTATGATTTAAATTTTATACTTGATGGTCTTTGATCCATTTTCACTTAATTTTTATATATGGTGTTAGCTAAAGTTTTGCTCTTCTTGCATGTTAGGGACACAGATTTTCTAGCATCATTTATTGAAAAGACTTTCCCCAGAAGGATCTTGATACCCTATTGAAAAATCACTTAACTGTACACAAGTGATTTTATTTCTGGGTGCTCTGTTCCATTGGTCTGTATGTCTGTCTTTAATCAATGTCACACAGTTGATTATTGTAGCTTTGTAGAGTGAATTTTGAAATCAATAAATGTATCCTCCAACTTTGTTCTTCTATTTTAATATTGTTTAGCTGTTTGGGGTCGTTTGAGGTTCCACATGAGTTTTAGATGGATTGTTTCTTTCTACAAAAMTATCTTTGGGATTGTAGAGAGGTTGCATTGAATCTGTAGATTACTGGGTGGAATTGTCTTTTTTCCTCTTTTTATTGTTGAGATGCTGTCACTGCGTCATCCAGGCTGGCCTTGAACTCCTAATGTCAAGCAATCCTTGTGCCTCAGCCTTGTAGTTGACACTATAGGYAGGTGACTAGTATTGTCATCTTAACATTAGGTCTTCCAGCCCATGAACATGCCATGTTTCATTTATTTGTCTTAACTTTTAGCAATATTTTGTGGGGTTTAGTGTATGATAAAACTTGATTGAGTGTATTCTTGAGCTATTTTATTAGCTTTGATACTGTTGTAAGTGAAATTATTTTCTTAATTTCCTCTTCGTTTTGCTCATTGTTATTACATAGAAATAAAACTGTTTTTTTGTGTGTTGGTTTTTGTAACCTGCAGTTTTGCTGAATTATTAGCTTTTTGGTTTTTTTTAAATATTTATTTAGTTGTAGAAGAACATAGTATCTTTATTCATTTTTATGCGGTGCTGAGGATTGAACTCAGTGCCTCACATATGCAAGGCAAGCACTTTACCACTAAGCCCCAGCCCCAGCCCCTGAATTATTAGTTTTTATGGATTATTTCTTTGGGAAGGGATAGACTCTTTAAGGTTTTCTGCATAAAATATTGTGTCACCTGGAAACAGATACTACTTTCTTTCCAATCTGAGTGCTTTTTCTTTTCATTSCTGGCCTCATTGCTTTGGCTAGACCTTGCAGTGTTGTGTTGAATGGCAATAGTATAAAAGGTATTCTTTTTCCTGGTCTTGGAGAAAAGCTTCAGGTTGTCACCACTGTCATTTCAGCTGTGTGTTCATGTGTCCTTTGTCATATCAAGGAACTGGCCTTCTCCTTCTAGTTAACTCATTGGTTTTATGTTGGAAGGGTATTGAATTTTGTCAGGTGCCTTTTTTGCATCAGTCTCTGATTATGGGGCAAGGGCTTAATGCTTAATGGTTGCAGTTTTTGTTTGAGGTAATGAAAAAGGTTTGAAATATGTAGAGTAATAATAGGTTTACAACATTATGATCATAATTAATGTCACTGAATTGCGCACTTCAAGAGGGTTAAAATGACAAATTTTGTATATATTTACCACAATTTTAAAAATGCTTACAAGAAAGTTATTGATACAGCCCTCCATATCCCTAGATMCCACATGAGCAGATTCAGCCAGCTGTTGATTGAAAATATTTTTGAAATATTATGTCATTGCTGACATCACTACATAGTTGAACCTATGATGGTTTTGTCTGTCCTGAGCATATACAGACTTTTTTCTTGTCATTATTCCTGAAACAATACAGTGTAACAACCATTTACATAGTATTTACATTGAATTGGGTGTGATTAAGTAATCTAGAGATAACTTTTAAGTAAATAGGACGGTATGTGTAGGTATATGCAAATGCCACACCCTTTTATGTAAGGAACTTGAGCACCCAGAGTTTTGGTATCCACAGGGGATTCTGGAATCAATTCCCTGTGGATATAGGTGCAGTTTGAATGGATTCTATGGTATATAAATGATATTTCACTAAAAAAGGAATAGACCATGTGACCAAATTCCCACAGGCCTGAGGAGCTGAAAATTGTGCAAATGATAGAAAATTGAAGGCTTTTTGATTTCTGTTTTGGTACTGGGGATTGAACTCAGAGATTCTTTACTACTGAGCTGCATCCCCAGTCCTTTTTATTTTGCTAAGATGCCAAGGCTGGYCTTGAACCCATGATCCTTCAGCCTCAGCCTCCTGAGTCTCTGGGATTACAGGCATGCCCAGTGGAAGATGGAAGGCTTTAATTCAGAACTTTTTAGTATTTGAAAATGAGTGCTATTTTCTCCCAAAGATCATTCTTATAGTGTAACATGATCAAAAAGCTATGGAGCATATTAAAAAGTTAAAAGACAGTTGCTGGATGAAATGTGCTTTTACTTGTGTGCCTCATTGAGTTCAGACAGTTCAGTGACCAGGTACAAATTTGAGCCCAGTGTTCTGTCACCCTACAGGGTCAGCAACATTATTGCCTGTCCACAGATGGAGCCTTAGGTTGAAGCAGACCCTGTGCTGTGCCGGTGCCTTGCAGGGAAAAAATAGATGCCCTGCTGAGCCACTGGTAACATGGGCTGAGTAAGGAGGGTGAAGGAACTTGTTCAGGTTACAGGACTGAGATGGGGCAGTGCCAGCATTGGAGTCCTGACTTGTCAGACCTCAAAGCCTGTGTGCTTTCTTTAGCAAAAACTTCCTTGTCCCCTCCTGCCCTACTCTTTCCTTTCCTTTCTCCCTGGCTAAAGGGGGAAACCTGTTTGGTGTGCTTATGATGCCTAGATTATCCGCACATGAGAGAACCAGTGGGGTGGGTTGCTGTCCCTTGAGAGATGGCTTGGAGCATGGGAGAGCGTCYTGCAGGAGTTGGGGAGAGAGGAGGGGGCACTCAGAACACTACCTCCTGTCCATCATACTCTCTCACCTCCAGTTCCCGCAGCGTCTCATCTGCTGTCTTGAGGATTTGACTGTCCAGACATTTCTTGTAAATGGAATCATGAGTATGTGACCTTTAGTATCTGACTTCTGTTTCCAGTGTATTTTCAGAACTCATCCAAGTTGTAGTATGTGTTGGTATTCCACTCCTTTGTAGAGCTGTATAATACTCCATTGTGTATAGACCACATTTCTCCATTTATCTGTTGATGGACATTTGCATCGTTCTCACCTTTGGGCTCCTATTGAATAAATACTGCCACGAATGTATGTGTAATTGTAGGTGAACATATGTTTTMATTTTTCTTTGATATAAACCTAGAAATGCAACAGCTGAGTCATTTGTTAATTTTGTGTTTTGACTTTTGCTAAACCACCAAACTTTTCTGTGGTGTCTGCATCATTTTATCCTCCCACAGCAATGTATGAGGGTTCTAGTTTCCCTGCCTCCTCACCAGCCAACACTTTCCCCCTTTTCTTTTTAAAAATAGCTTTCAGAGTGGATATGAAGTCATATCTCCGTGACTTTGATTAACATTTTCTTTTCTTTTTTTTTTTTTCTTTTGCAGTACTGGGGACTGAACCCAGGGGCCTGGGCTTGCAAGGCAAGCATTCTTCCCCAGCCTCATTTGCATTTTCTTATTTTTTTTAATATGATTTTGATTTTTTTATCACCTTAATTTCATTTATTTATTTATTTYTGGTGCTGAGGATCAAACCCAGTGTGTCACACATGCAAGGCAATTGCTCTACCACTGAGCCCCAGCCCTCAGTTTGCATTTTCTTAATCACCAATGTTGATGAACATTTTTTTTTGTGCACCTTTTGGGTCATTTTTGTATATTTGAAGAAATACCAGTTTGAGTCCATTTGCCCATATTCTAATGGGATTCTTTTTGTTCCTAATATTATGATGTGTGTAACTTTCTATTCTGGATGGATGTATGATTCACAAGTATTTTCTCCCATTTTTTAGGTTGTCTCTTTCACTTTCTTGATGATGGTTTTTGATTTAAAGTTAACTTTTTTTTTCTTGGTTCTAGAGAATGAACCCACTAAGCCTCATTCCCCTCCTCTCCTTTTACATTTTATTTAGAAACAAGGTCTCAATGAGTTGCTTAGGGCCTCACTAAGTTGCTGAGGCTGGCGTTAACTCGAGATCTTATTGCCTTAGCCTCCTGAGCCACTGGGATTACAGGTGTATGACACCGTGCCTGGCAAAGTTTTAATCTTGATGAAGTCAATCTTACCTATTTTTTCTTTCTTTTTTTGGTCGGGGAGRGTGTTACTGGAACTGAACCTGTACTGAGGATTGAATTCCGGGGGTGCTTGGCCACTGAGCTACATTCCCATCCCTTTTTGTTTTTTAATTTGAGACAGGGTCTTGCTAAATAGCTTAAGGCCTAAGTTAATAAGACTGGTCTCTAACTTGTGGTCCTCCTGCTTCAGCCTCCAAAATTGCTGGGATTATAGGTATGCACCCCTGTGCCTGGCACCTAGCTGTCTTTATTTGACTTGAAGACATGGTCTCACTAAGCTGTTGAGGCTGGCTTCAATGGAACCTGCTTCAGCACCCCTAGTGGTTGGGATTCCAGGTGTGCGCCATCAGGCCTGGCTCTCTGTTTTTCTTCTGTTGCTCAGATTTGCTGTCAAATCTCAGAATCCATTGCCAGATCCCAGGCCATAGAGGTTTATCCCTGTGCTGTCTCCTGAGAGTTTTATCTCATATTTAGGTCTATGGTCCATTTTGAGTTGATATTTGCATGTGGTGTGCGGGAGGGATCCAGCTTCATTTGTGTGTGGACATCACACTGTCCTGGCACCATTTTCTCAAGAGACTCTATTCTTACCTCAGATGGTAAGAATAGAGTCTCTTGAGATTCACCAGAGTATTAATCTGAGTCATAGTAACTTAAGACATTAAAGAAAGTTGGCCTTTCCTCTGGGTTCTGCATCCATGGATTTCACCAATTGCAATAGAAAATATTTGGGGTCAGGGAGGAGATTGTGCTTGTACTAAACACATACAGGACACCCCCCCCCCCCGATTCTTAACAGTACAACCTAACGGTCGTTTACCTAGCATTACATGGTGTTAGGTGTTATATGTAATGTAATGATGGTTTGGAGTACACAGGAGGATATGTGTAGGTTATATGTAAACACTGTACTCTATGCATAAGGGACCTGAGCACCTGCAGATTTTAATATCCAGGGGTGTCTTGTAACTAATCTCCCACAGATGCTGACGGACCAGTGTATCGCAAAATCTATGTTTTATTAAGAGACATTAGTATTTATCATGTGATATACTTAAGTTATATGTCCTGATTTAATAAGCACACAAACCTAAGAGATGTGCTACTGTACTGTCACCATTTTACCAAAGAGGAAACTGAGACTCAAAGACGTGGAGTAATTTATGAAAGGTGCATAACTGGTGGTTGGCAGAGCGAGGATTAATCCAAGTTGTTCTAAATCTGTGCTTTTTATCCTCCTACCTTGTCCCATACATCTGATGGTGCTTGATGCACACCCATTTTTTTTTTTTAAAGAGAGAGAGAGAGAGAGAATTTTTTTAATATTTATTTTTTAGTTTTTGGTGGAYACAACATCTTTGTTTGTATGTGGTGCTGAGGATCGAACCTGGGCCGCAAGCATGCCAGGCGAGCACGCTACCGCTTGAGCCACATCCCCAGCCCCTACACCCATTTTTTTTTTAATTTTATTTTTTAGTTGTAACTGGACACAATACCTTTATTTCACTTTTTTATTTTTAGGTGGTGCTGAGGATCGAACCCAGGGTCTTGCACGTGCGAGGCGAGTGCTCTAGTGCTGAGCCACAACCCCAGGCCCCCCCCTTTTAATTGTTGAATTCAGAAAGTGTATTTCAGGTGCCCAAAGGACTTTGTCTATAGAATAAAGTAATTAAGAGCCCAGGTATTGGTCCTGTTTTCAAGATGGCGCAGTTGAGAAAGCATAAAAGATCCATGTCCAGGTGGGTGGGAGGCAGCTCTGGCTGAGAAGTCAGAGTTGTCTGATTAGAAACTCTCCCCTCTGTTCCTAGAAAAAGAGCAGTTAATAGCCTTTATCCGTGAAGTAACAGCACACATCGCTTGCTTTCCTTTTCATGATAGGACCAGGAATTCTCAGTGTAGTAAAGCATTTTTACCCTGTCAGGTGGCCAGGAATCCTTATGAACCTAAAATACTAGTTTTAAATGTCACACTTTGTCTAAGTAACTTGACTTGTATGCCTGAGTCCTGAAGCATTGCCTTCCATGTTAAATTGAATTTCCTTGGGCTGGGGTTGTGGCTCAGTGGCAGAGCACTTGCCTCGCACATGTGAGGCACTGGGTTCAATCCTAAGCACCACATAAAAATAAATAAACAAAATAAAGATATTGTTTTCCATCTATCACTAAAAAATTTGAAAAAAACCCCTGAATTTCCTTGTCTCCCCTCTTTCTTTGCAGCCATCGATCTCACGTATGGAGGTATCTATTGCTTTTTGTGTCAGGACTACATCTATGACAGAGACATGGAAATAATTGCCAAAGAGGAACAGCGGAAGGCTTGGAAGATGCAAGGTTGGGTTCTGCCTGAATTTACTTACTTGCTTTTGTCTCTTAACCCTGTGGTCTCCTCAGGTCTGTCAAGAGCAAAACTTGGTCATACAGAACATCCAGGACTGAGGGAAACGGATGCTGCAGTCTCTGTACTCAGGACTGGAGGCATTTGAAAAGGGAATCATCTTGCATTCTTGTTGGGGTGGCTTTAATGGGCAGTTTGCAGGAAATGTGGTGTATTCATAGACCCCCACCAAAGGCGAGCCGGTCACCCATCTGTGCAGTAGGGGGTTAGAAAACCCTGATATCAGGGCTGCCGCTCTTTCAAATACAGCCTGATAACGAGTATAGAACCCCACAACTTTTGTTTATAAACACACTTGAAAATTGAGCCAACAGCACTTGGAACTGTCTTTCATCTCCTTAGGTGCTGGAGAGAAGTTTTCAACTTGGGAACCAACCAAACGGGAGCTGGAACTGCTGAAACACAATCCTAAAAGGAGGAAGATCACCTCTAACTGCACCATAGGTGGGTAGAGGGCATCTTGCCGAGCAGAGTCTGTTTCCACTMCTAGGCTCATAATGCAGCAGGAGTCTGTTTAATTCCTGCTTGACTGCATGTCATTGGTTGGCCTGCTCAGCATCCAGGTCACAAGCACCCTGCTCTCTACAGGGAGTGCCATGGGCTTGGGGTGCAAAGGAACGAGTGGAGGTGGTTCCTGCCCTGTGACCTTTAGAGTTTGCATGTCTTAAGGAACCCAAGTGTTTTTCGGCCAGGTTAATCTTCAGTGATAGAAGTGATGTGGCTATGCGAGGGTGTTTGATAAGTATTGTAAGAAGTGAGAAATGCATTTTAGAACATTTTAAAAGCAATTTGTTTTGTTGGAGGCTCTTTTCCAACCTGTAKTTTTATCGAAAACACAATTGGGCAGTGGTTTTAAAAACATGACGGCCAAAGAAGGGATGTTGGTAGTGGACATTCCTCAACCCAGTTCATATAAAAATGGTCTCAAAATTAGGAAAGTATTACATTTCTTCTTSCTCTTTTCTTCTTGAGTGAACTAATAAAGGAAGATGATCATGCAGACCTAAAGGAAGCCCCCAGCACGTGGCAGTATACCACCCGTAGTTCAGTGCACTAGTAACTCCCGACGTCTCTGGCTTCATTCTCAGGTCTGCGAGGGCTGATCAACCTTGGGAACACGTGCTTCATGAACTGCATCGTCCAGGCTCTGACCCACACACCGCTCCTGCGTGACTTCTTCCTGTCTGACAGACACCGGTGTGAGATGCAGAGCCCCAGCTCCTGCCTGGTCTGTGAGATGTCCTCACTCTTCCAGGAGGTAAGTGCTGCCAACTCAGCTGTGTAATATCTTACAACTGCTTTCTTTTGCCTTAAAAACAGTATTGGCCATGATAAATTTCCAGAACTTTATGTAGTGAATAAATTTTTATAGGTGCTTTAACTATGGAAGACAGTTTTTCCAAAAGAGATTGTTAAATGATGAGAGGCTGTGGGCATGGCTTTTGGAGACACACTGCTGACCCAGGATGAGAAAAGGAGCCCTTGCAAGGGTTGTGGCAGAGTCAGCTGGTGGAACACATTCATCTCCGTAAATAGTGGCAGTTCACTCTTAAATCCTGTTGTCGGCCACACGATCTCGGGAAGGCCAGTAGATGTGCTGGCCTCTTTCCTGTTTCATTCTTGAGGGAGTGGGTCTGCTCTGTGGCTGTCACTGCCAGGCGTGCTTCATCAGAGGCCTCTTCTCTTGTGAGCCTCTGCCCTGCTTGGGTGGCTCTGTTCCCTTGATCTGACTGTGGCTGCACTCAGTGTCCATCCATGTTTGTGTCTGACGAGAGAGAGTGCAGGGTGGAACTCTGGACACAGGGTCCAGACACATCTGGGCTGAGGCCTCAGGACCTACCAGCTTAGTGCCTCCGACTGAGTTTTTAGAGCTCAGGTCTCTCAGTTACTCCAGTGTAAAAATGGGGATGCTGCCTGCCCTATAGGCCTCTAAGAAGACCAGTTGACAGGCCCAGCCTCCCCTGCTTTTATCACTCATCTTGCTATTTTGTCAGAACGTGGCCACACCCACTGCCTCACATACTGTTGGTGGCTGCTTGGGCCACAGCCTCAGAGTTGAGTAGTTAGATAGAGACCATGTGGCCTGTAGCTGAAGTTACTCTCTTTTGTKCTCTTTTCAGAAACAGTTTGCCAGTCTATCCTAGCAGAAGCCATTTTTCCTATCCAGGTACTAACTAGGCTTGACCCTGCTTAGTTTTTGAGATTGGGCAAGATCAGTGCATTCAGAGTCATATAGCCATAGACCTAGCCTAACCCGTTTCTGACTCCTACAACATACTGATAACTGTGGGGATTGTATTACTGAACAGACTGAAATTGTTAGAGACCAGAATACCTGAAATGATTGGGACACGAAGTGTGTCAGGTCTCAGGGTGTTTTGTATTGTATTTGATAGACCTTACTAATTGATCATCACTAACAGAAATCCAAAATGCTCCAAAATATACCATGCACTCTCAAGTTTTGGGTTACAAAGCCTTCTGGATTTCAGATTTTCAGTTTTAGGGATGCTAACCAAGTACTAGCATCTCTTTCTTATCGTGGCTGTCCACCTCTCAACGTCTTACAAGTGTAAGACTTGAAGCCTGTGGAGGAGTTGAGCATCTTGTTTCCTTGTCCACTTTATGCTGCTGCTAGGTGAACAACTGCCATTTACTGTCAAGCAAAGGAATCTCATGAGTATGTGAATTCTTTTAAATCCTAAAGAACAAAGCTAACTTTGAGATTCTTGATTTACTTATTTTTTTGTGGAGCTGGGGATGGAACCCAGTGCCCTGTGCATGCTAGGCAAGCACTACCACTGAACTCCACCCCCAGCCTATCATTAATAATGGTATATTGGTTACCATGTCATTTTGTTCAGAATTATGAGTCTGTTCTATTATAAATGAAGTTCATGTTAGGTCAGATGGTAAGATCTGAAATGTTCATGTCAGCGGGGACCCTGACCTGAGGTTTGCCTGGTGCTTTGTATGAGGTGACATTGGGCATATTAAGTCCTTTTTTTTTTTTGGACTGGCGATTGAACCCAAGAGTGCTTTACCACTGAGTTATATCCCCAGCCCTTTTTATTTTTTTTATTTTGAGAAAAGGTCTTGCTAAGCTGCTTAGGGTCTCTCTAAGTTGCTGAGGCTGGCCTCAGAGTTGCAATCCTCCTGCCTCAGCTTCCCACGTCACAGGTATTATAGGTGTGTGTCCTGTCCTCAAGAGGTCAAGGTATTTTTATTTTCATTCGCTTTCATTAGCAAGTTACAATTCATCATGTGGGTTTATCTTTAAAAAATAGGTGGTGGGAAGGATAAAATCCTATGCAGACTCCAAAAGCCCAGAAAGTCCAAATTAAAATAAGATTCAGCTTTAAAGAAAGAGAGATGGTTTTGTCAAACCAGACAGTTCCCTTCCTGGGCAGCTGTTCAGCACTTCCATTGTGTCGCATGCTCAGGTCCAGTGTGCTCCCACAGTCCCCCTTTTCTTCTCCCCGAGCAGTTCTACTCTGGACACCGGTCCCCTCACATCCCCTACAAGCTGCTGCACCTGGTGTGGACCCACGCACGCCACCTGGCCGGCTACGAGCAGCAGGATGCGCATGAGTTCCTCATCGCCGCCCTGGATGTCCTTCACCGGCACTGCAAAGGTGGGCCGCTCTGCCCCCCTGTCCTGGCGCCTTCCTCAGGTTATGACAGGAGTCTCCCTCTGAAAGGGAGCAAAGAGGGGAAGTGTGCGTGCACCTCCAAAATGGGGGACATTGCCGAGAACCCCCACTGTTGTTGCATAGACCATATATGACTATATTTTCCTAAGGAGGTTCCTTATACTTATTTTTAAAAGAGGAGAAAGTAGTTTCACGTGTCCTTTGGCAGCCGCATGGTAGGAATCCCCTGTGACCCATCATCGCAAACAGTGAAAGCTCGGAGGCCTCGGCATGTTGTGGCTGCTCTGTGGCTCCTCTGAGTTGTCGTGTCTGAGGCTTCTGAATGTGACTGGTGGTCAGAACTATCCTTCTGCCTTGGGGAGACCACAGACGATTGCTGCTCTGAAATAGAGCACTGGGATCAGGGGACCAAGCCTGTTCGCCTGCTGGTGCGTCCCTGATTTTGATTGCAGTCCTCTTTTGATTCTGATCAAAGGCTTTTTATTTTAAGCTCTTTCTTGGGATTTTAATGGAACATGGCTTCTGCCTTARCATAGTCCCACAGCCTGCCTGGGAGCACGGTCCCCCTTCGCGGGTTCTTGGATATGGGTGGGATTTGATGGTTGAGGTGGGGAGGAGGCACGGTGTCTCCTAGGGTAGGAAGTGGAGATTCAGGTGGAGTGGTGGGTAGCTGGAAGCATGATTGGGTCCCTTCCTTTTTTTCCTGGTTGTGGTAGAGTTCCCAGTTCCAAGGGCTTGCAGGTTGCCACGAAGCTTGGACGTGGGTTGTTGGCTTCTTACATTGCTGGTGTCTAGTTCAGTAGGTCTGAGGGAGGGTGATGCCGTGGCTGCAGGTTCAGATCTCACCTCTGAAGGCACTGCTGCAGTGAGAAGAGACCTGGTTCCCATCGGGTTCCCTGGGATCTGGGCTAGTTCAGCTAAATGTAGGTGGTACCTGCCCAGCTCATTTTCTCTTGAATTGGTATCTTTTAAAGAACAAAGCAGCTGGCTTTCCTAGTGCCCTTCAGTCTTTTGAGGCTATGCTCAGGATGGTGGCCCTTGCACCAGTGCCCTGTAGAGCCTAGGGCACCAGCTCAGAGCCCCAACGCTTGACAGGAGATGGCTTGTTTGAATCAGCTCTCATGCTTTGGGTTCTGTTTTGTTGGTAATTTTTTTTTCCTCTTAAAACATATGTTCTTTTAATACTTACCCTGAGAACCAAATGAAGTTTGCTGAATAGCTTAGATTATATTGGATTTTCTTGAGTGATGTGTGTCATACATACAGAACGAGCCACCATGAAAGATTACTCAATTAAAGATTATTACTATAAGCAAATTATGAAGGTAATTAAGAACCTCCATAAGCAGGAGAAGTCTGTACTGAAAATTGTTTGAAAATGCATTGCTGTTAAAATGTAGAACAAAAAAACGTGAAACCACTGTTGCCCACTCCTGGAAAGAAATGTCAGCTCTTTTCATTAAAAACAAAGTCATGGACTTGGGGTGTGGCTCGTGTGTAGAGCTTGCCTGACAAGTCCAAAGCTCTGGGTTCCATCCCCAGCACTGCAAAACAAACAAACCCAAAAAATGCAGTTACCAGAGACTTGGCACAGGTCGTGGGCCTGGATGCGCTTGGTTGTGTTGTTCATGAKTTGTCAGCTCTGGGGCATCTTCAGCTCATCTTTCTTTACATCTTCCTGAACACACTTTCCATACCTTGTAACATTCTGCCTTGGGAATTCGAGGTTCTTTTGGGCAGTGTTTTCCTCTAATCTTAAATCTGGATGRTTGCTCTCAAGACTGGACATTCTTCATTCTGTAATAATTCTGTTTTTTTGATACATAATGTATATGTAAATGGCTACATCATCATCCCCCTTTTAGCTGAATGAAGTTACAGTGTACATTTTAAATATATATTGTACTCTGCTCTTGAAGTGGTGTGTCTGCTTATCTAAGTAGAGTGTGGATGGAACCCAGGGAGGACCTGGGAGTCAGGAAGTGTGGCGCTGATGAGGAGCAGTGGGTTGGGGCTGCTGCGAGCCATCCTGAGGGAGGCATGGTCTGGTTGAGGGAGGAGAAAGGTGCTTCTCTGGTATGACTGATCCAGATCATTATTATTGGGCTTTCTCTCTGGGAAAATATTTATTCAATTATTCTGCATGTGAAAAACAGAATCGATAATCCTACCAAGCTGTTAGGTGTTAGGACACTTCATTGCCGAGACAGATGCTAAGGAGAGAAAACAAAGAGCATTAGCATCTAGGTGCTTGGATCTCTCATGAGATTAAAACCATCATGCGCCCCTTTGTCAAGTCTCCGTTGGAATCACAGGTGTCCTCACCCACCTTTTAAAGTGTCAGTATTCCTGGTTTCCTCCCGACTCTCCTGGATGGGTGAGGGAACATGCTGTCTGCCCTCCTGGAGATGCACAGATGTGATGACAAAGCTGTGTTCTGTCCCCAGGTGATGACAATGGGAAGAAGGCCAACAACCCCAACCACTGCAACTGCATCATCGACCAGATCTTCACAGGCGGGCTGCAGTCCGACGTCACGTGCCAGGTCTGCCAGTAAGTGCAGCCCTCAGCCAGACACAGTCCGCTGCAGCATCAGGACCTGGGTGGGCCACGCCGACATCTTAGCACAAGCCCCAGTCAGCAGAACTGTTGTGCTGGGAGTTTTTTAAGTGAACCCTTAACACTAAAGTGGAATCAGCATCGCTTGTTACACTGAGTCCTGAAGGGTAAGGGAGAAACCTCATGAACATGTGGCCCTCAGTGTTGGGGTTTCCTTGGTGTTCAATCCAGGAGGGTGTTCTTGGGAGTTGTCCTTCACATTTCTTTGACATCTGTCATGGGGTGGGTTATMTAATTATTCCACCACGGTTCCTGTGTCCATCTGCTCCCGGGTGGTGACTTTCATTCTTGCCAGGTGCAGCCACCACTTAGCACTTCAGGCCTCAGAACATGGACAAGCATCACCTGGCAGTGAAACCAGAGGACCTGGCATTCCCCCTTAGTGCACATGCGTGTTTTTATTTCAGTTTAGTTTTTTAAAGCCCTGGTCACATCTACCATGCGGCCTGCRCAATGGTTTCATTAATGAGGTTCTAGGCATAAAGTTAGTTAGAAGATATCGAAATAAAACACACAGACTCAGTTACCTTATTTCTATTGCTAGGTCCGAGACGGCTCCCCTCTCTGGTTCGCTCCTCTAGCTGCCCAGCAGGGCAGCAAGGATTACTCAAGGGCTAGCAGGAGAGAGTGAACATGCCGGGAGTAGCCTTTTATTGGGGAACAAGAGATTCAGGGGAGAATTCCATCCAATGAAGGCTTGGGGGGGGGCTGCACTCCAAGGTCAGGGTCAGTGATTGGGTCCCCGGGGTCAGTGGTCAGGCACACCCCCACACGGATGGGCTCTCTCATCAGGAAAGGGCCGGGAAAGCTCCGACACAGCCAAAGCGCCTCAGACCCTTAACGGGAGTCACCCAATCACATGTCAGAATGGCTTCCCACAGTCACAATCTACTAAGGTTGTTGAGAGCCCACAGTGGATTGTCACCCAYAGTCCCTATGGGGTCCTGGAAAAGGGTCCCTGCTCCTTGGTGTTGCAGATGGAGTTTTCTTTTACATAGCAGAGGTTGTTTGGGCCTTGGCTGTGAGCATTATAGAGTTTCTTACTGACCCTTACCTACCAAGTTCTGAGCAAGGGGTTGTTTCAGATTTATATTCTGTTTAAATATCTTGGGCAAATATCCCACTCTGAAGAGTTTCCCTTTTTTAATACTTGAATTAAATCTCCAAGGAGGAGCTGGCCTTGCTAAATCCAGTGTTCTACATTCTGCAGAGTCTGCTCAGCTTGGTCAGTGGACATTCAGTGTGATATGTGTGTGTGKGGGGATCTCTGTGATCCCCCTGGGCAGCAATAACCAGTTTCTGGGTATTGGTGCTACTCCAGTTCCCACATGCAGCTGAGGTATACCTAGGGATTCAGAGCCTCTGAACCTAGGGCTTGGGAAATTTACTCTTAAAATCCCTAAATGAAGGTGGTGCTCTCCCAGATTTTGACATTAAGGGGCAGCCCTTGCATTACTGGATTTATACACATCCTTACCTTGGGCCACCCAGGACACACAGGTTCAAGTACTCCTGCTTGAGCACCCACCCTCAGGCGTTCTTGGAACAAAAGGGCTGTGTTGGTATGTCCCCAAAGAAAGCACAGAAGCTGCCTCAGGCTGGCACAGAAGCAGCGATGGCCCTYAGCCCTCATGACGTGTTTCCACTTTCTGCAGTGGCGTCTCCACCACCATAGACCCCTTCTGGGACATCAGCTTGGATCTGCCTGGCTCCTCCACCCCGTTCTGGCCCCTGAGCCCAGGCAGCGAGGGCAGTGTGGTCAACGGGGAGAGCCACGCGTCGGGCACCACAACACTCACCGACTGCCTGCGGAGGTAAGGCAGCCATGACGTTTGGGCAGGGAAAACCACGTCTCCCGTGTGGAAGCTGTTTAGAAGTGGTAGCTGGTCAGGAGAAAGCTGTAAATTCAGGGCCAGACCAGGGTAGCATTTTCTCTCTGCTGCCCAGAGTAGAGAATAGAGAGAATGTGCAACGTTAGCCTACAGATGGCTGCACGTGCCCAGGAGCTCACACTGGTTGGCTCTTTTCAAATTTTTTAGTATTTCTGTCTTCTGCTTTGCACGATTGCATGTCTGTATCACAGACCACCGACCTTTTCCCACTCACCCCAACCCAGTGAGTGAGCTGAGAGCAAAGAGCAGAACRTGATGCTCCCCACCTTTTGTGGCAGGCAACCTGCACCACAGTGTGGACTAAACACTGGTCTTACTTCCCACATGTGTGGCCTGTCCTGCAAGTGGCTAGAACATCTGTGGTGTTTTGCACTTAACAGCCATTTTAAAGTTGTCCCTTCACTACTTCATTGGTTTAGATAGATGATAAGACTTAGGATACTCTTCAAAGGCTCTGCAGAGTTCTTTGTAAGGGAAGTATTCCTTAGAAGAGGGACAAGGTTTTATGATTTATCTTGCTGCGTGTTTAAATTTTTTTAACTACATTGACTTTGTTGGATTGATAGGTCCAGATAGTAAATAGGGTATCAGATTGTGGAAAACAAACAACCAACCAAAAACATTTTCTAAGAGTCTTTTTAATTTAACATAGTCATAAATTTCAGTAATATAAAAGTTTGGAGAAAAGATTATGGGAAAAGAAGTCTCATTTTTTTTTCATTGTGGAAAATTATAAACCGTAACTGTGAATTACTTCTCCTCAGATGGACATTTTATGCTTTAAATTTTTCTGTGGCAAGTCTTAACAGAAGTGATAAAATATTCTTTTGTTCTTCCTTTTCTGTCCCTCTTCTTTCCCTCCTTTTTTCCTTAAAAACTCCCCTTCTGCCCCTATACTGGGGATTGAACTCAGGGCCTTGCACGTGCTAGGCAGGTGCTCTACACTGAGCTGTATACCCAGCTCTTTTTATTTTGAGACAGGAAGATGCCCAGGCTGGCCTTGAACTTGATCCTCCTGCCTCAGCCTCTTGAGTTGCTGGGATTCCCAGTGTGCACCACCATGCCCAGCTAAAAACCTTTTAAAAATGTCTTGTAGATTTACCAGACCGGAGCACTTGGGAAGCAGTGCCAAGATCAAATGCAGTGGGTGCCACAGCTACCAGGAGTCTACCAAGCAGCTCACCATGAAGAAGCTGCCCATTGTGGCCTGCTTTCATCTCAAAGTGAGTTTTCCAGAAAACAGCCCAGTGGCAGCTTGAGGGCATTTTATAACTGGCCAGTCAGTAGGCATGCCAAAGGAGCAAGAGGGTGCAAGGCCTAATCCTGTGCTGCCCTCTGTTGCACAGATTTGTGATGGTAACAGAAAGCAAGTGACTCTAGATAGGAGTGTGTGTAAAAGTTTTATTACTTCCCAAATTCTTCCGTCTCTCTCCCCTAGTCTGTTTTACTTAAAGCAATTATGATCTAGTCCAGCGTTGGCAGGCTTTTTCTGGAAAGGGCCAGAAATCAATATCTGAGGCACTATATCAAATATTGATGTAGCATATTCTTATTTCAACACACCTTCAAAATGCTAAAAGAAAGGTGCTAAGTCTACAGCTGGATTTGGGTGCCCACATATAGTCCTAGAAATGCCTTTCCTTTGTTGCTACAGGTTAGGGTATTCGTCTTGTTTTCTGCACTTTGCTGGGTTTGTCATGAGGCCACTTTCTTGTACCCCTGGTATTTATCATGGAGCATGATCATCATTTCAAGCTTGACTTGAACTTCATACATCAGATCTGTGTGGGTCAGCGTTGGGTCTAACTGTCAGCACTAGGTGTGACCCAAAGGCAATTCAGAAAGTAAAAGGGGACGCCCTGACAGCCCACGGGCTGCTGTCACTTAGTCTCTTTGCTGTTCCCTCTCCCTCCTCCATTTCTGTAGCGATTTGAGCACTCGGCCAAGCTGAGGCGGAAGATCACCACGTACGTGTCCTTCCCCCTGGAGCTGGACATGACACCCTTCATGGCCTCCAGGTAGGAGTCGCTGTGTCCTGTTGGGGTGGTCGTGTAGCACCCGCTTTCCAGGGTGAGGCATTTGTCACAAGTAATAAGAAGCTTACTTTTCATAAATGTAATTACTTATCCTGATCCTACCCAAGATCCACTTAAGTGAGTTGTTTTTCCTTGGATAGTTTGTTTTGAATTTTTCTCTAGCAAGTCTTTATCAGCTTTCAAACTTGGAAATTCATCGAGGTGAGATATGAGGAGAAGGAACAGATTTTGAAGTGCTGATAAACAGCTGAATTTTTTGATTGTGGATTCTGTTTTCTTTATTTTCAGATGTTTATATTATAGAACACTTAAAATTTAACCTTTAGATAAACGAAGCTGCTCTCTGATGTATTTGTTTTCATCCACAAACTTGGTGGCTTGCAGTGATAGTGGTTTATTTTCTCATAGTTCTAGAGGCCAGAGATCAGGGGTTGGAGAGGGTCCACTTTTGAAAATCTGGCAGCGTCTGTTCCTCACCTCTTCTAGCTTCTGGTGGCTCCAGATCCTGTTGTGGCCACACCACCTCCCATTCCCTGGCCTCGGGTTCTACCCCTGAGTCTGATTTCCCTCAGATTCTCTCTCATAAAGACACTGGTCATTAGGGTTAGGGCCCACCCAGGTAATCTAGGCTCAGCGTCCTTGTTCACAAAGACCTTTATTCATAAACCAGGTCACACTCACAGGTCGTGAGGATTGGGAGGTGAACATCACTTTTTTAGGGTCTATAGTCCAGCTCACTGCACCATCTCAAGCGAGTTTTTGTGGTTAGGTATCCATATCTTCCCGTGTCCTTTCTTTTGGTGGCCCTGTCCCCGAGGTCCACAGGTTTCCATCCCAAATACGATGAGATTCTCAGAATGACAGCTCTGCGTCGTCAGCCCACCCTGGGAAAACGAGTCAGCRTGACCTTGATTCCCGTGTCGGGGAGGGGACGCAGTGGTGGCTGCTTTTACCTGGGTCTCAGAGATCTCATTGCCTTCTTAGCCTTTGGTGGGTGAATGCCTTAAACAGAACTTGGGACTTCTCGTTTCCAGGAGCCCCTCCCATTTTCCCAAGTGCTGGTGGAGGGGTAAGCAGTCTTTGATCTTTCTGAGGAAGCTGGTGGTGGTCTAAGTTACACTCCACCCRTGGGAGGATGGCTCATCACAGACTCCTGGGGGCAGCAGAGGCCTGGGGGAATCTACTGGAGAGAGTGCGCCCTGCTCCCCACTGCAGCATGGACAGTCTCTGCTTAGAGCCTGTGACGTGCCCCCTCTCGCGGCGTTTGTGGAACCCTTCTCAGTGTTGGTGATTGTCAGAGCCTCCTGTCTCTTTGATGCTGAGTCTTGCTGCTCTTTGTTACAGTAAAGAAAGCAGGATGAACGGGCAGTACCAGCAGCCCACGGACAGCCTCAGCAACGACAACAAGTACGCGGTGGCTTGTGGGGATGTCCCAGGCGGGGTTGGCAGGGTGGGCACATGGGGAGCAGCACCAGCAGAAGTCCCTTTTCCTGTGGCCTCTGAATTGCTTCCTCGCCTGCTTCCCGTTACCTCTGTTAGCAAAGGCTGTTTCCGGTGGGGGGCTGCCCCTGCCCAGGCTTCTGACTTCCTTCAGGCCTAAGGGGCTCTGTTCTGCCTGCCATTGGTACTGTAGAAAGGTGGCACAGGTAGAGTGGGTACCACTGCCTCCACCACTAATCCCCACTTCTGCTGAGTGTGGCTCTGGGGATTGCACCCCGGTGAGAGCTGGAAGAGCTAGAAGGCAGGTCCAGCTCCCTCCCACTGCCGCTGGTGTTGGGTTAGGTCAGGTCAGTGGCCACCTGGCCTGCCTGGGCTGGGAGTGCCCTCGGTCAGCTCTTCTCTTCCCCACTCCTCCTCCTACCAGGTACTCCCTGTTTGCTGTCGTTAATCACCAAGGGACCTTGGAGAGTGGCCACTACACCAGCTTCATCCGTCAGCACAAAGATCAGTGGTTCAAGTGTGATGATGCTATCATCACCAAGGCCAGCATCAAGGACGTGCTGGACAGCGAAGGGTACGTGGCTCCTGTGGGGGCTGGAGGAGGCCTCATGGTTGCAGCCGTATCCCATTCTGCCCCCTTGTCATTTGGGTCCAAAGCCACGTCTCTTTCTAGTGCCTCAGAGTGACTCTTGATGTTCACATTATTTCCTGAAATAATGAGAGCTCCTTCCAGGTAGGACAGCACCTAGATGGGCGGTGGAGAGGAGAGTGTGTCATTAACTCCCAGAGCACCCACGCTGTGGTCCGGGCCCATGAGTTCTTCATCAGTTCCTCTCTTCTCTCCTGGATTTGTTCCTTTGGGCACAGAAAACTTTTGCCCCTTCAGGGACTGAGGGGACCCCTCTCGTTTACCTTGAGCTACCCTAGGTCCTTATTCCTGATTGGACAGCAGGATTCCTGGCCCAGGGGTGAGGCCTGCCCAGCTGCCAGGAGCTCCTTTGGGGATGAACATGGACTCAGAGCATCCGGGTAGCCCCCACAGTGTGTTGATGAAGTGCAACCTTGAGAACATTGCAGGAGCCGCCTACCCTGTCGTGGTGGTCATAGGAGCAGTAGGCCCACCGTGAGGGCAGTGTCCTTCAGGGACAGAGAGGCAGTGCCAGAGGGCTGCAGGAGTCGGATGAGCTGTGGTAACTTCCTGGCAGGCAGAGGGTGGTTAGGCTTCTTTGATGGGGACAGGGCAGTTCAGCAGGGGGACTCTTGTCCCTGAGGACTCAAAAACCAGAACCAGCCAAGAAGTCAGATGCAGGCCACATGCACACGTGCTTGCTTGGCGTGGGCTGTTGGATTTGAATGTCTTAGGAACTGGAATAAGGCCAGTATTCCTCTGCCTCCTCAGATACCTGCTGTTCTACCACAAACAGTTCCTGGAGTACGAGTAGCCTCATCCACAGCTGGTCAGAGAAAAGGAGGGCGAGGAGTTGGCAAGCCTCACCAGAAGACCCCCAGCTTCCCCGACATGGCACCACCACGGCACCCCTCCTGTGTAGATGAGCCTGCACACGTGATCCTTCCGCACCCGGGAGTCAGGTGTCAGAGTGGACGTGAACCGCCCTCCCGAGCATACGTCAGGACGGTGCCCTGGATGGGAAAGGAGCCAAGGGAGGCTGTCACTGGCGTCTCTCCTGTGCTCCTCAAAACTGGGAGATCTGGGGTTGGGGCACCCTCGTGGCTTGAAACTGCCTCTGCCTGGTGCTTCCTTTTGTCCTACCACGCACACAGTTTAAGAAGGTGCCCACCTGATGAAAATAATGGTTCCACCGTGTGTAGACCAAGGTGGAGGCCAGGGCAGAGGCCTGGGGCGGCRGTGGGCTGAGTGTGTGCCGGGAGCCCATCCTCCCACTGTCTCCTGCAGCTGGAGGCTGCCCCGGGGCCCAGGGCCTGGGGGCGCTGGTGCAGGTTCCCAGCTCGTCTGCTCTGCAGGTATTTAGTGTCAACTGCATGTGGAAGCATCAGCCCAGATGTTCTCTCAGTTTTCTAGAAATAGACATTTTCTTATCCCCTTTCCCTTTTCTCTTTTTCCACGATGGTGAATTTCATAAATGTAATAATAGTAAAGTGAATGACTATTGAGTTTCTAATGAAATCTAGATCATTTCTTTATTCTCAAGAGTGAGTCTTGCTTTTTGATTGGTGCTGTTCTGTTGTGCCCTTTCCCACCCACCCACCCCCACCCACCCCCGGCCGCTCTCCCCCTTCCGTGGTTCGAAGCAGGCAGAGGTGGCGGAGGAGGACGGGGGACAGGGCTGCAGCTCAGATCCAGTGTCTTGATCTTGGAGTCAACGGAGCATTGTCCCGTGGTTCCATGGTCCCTTTCCCCCATTTTCCTCCTGATCTTTGGTCTTGCTGCCTGTGCAGGGCCGCATGGTGGCTGGTGTGTGGGGTCTGGAGCTGAGTGGCCCTGCTGGAGGCCAGGTGCCTCTCTGCACTTGCTGTGACTTAGTTGGAGCAGGAATGAAATGCTTTTGTGATGAGGTGGTTTCGGAGCTGGTTGAGGAAGTTCCTTGTAAGATATCTTGCATGTATCTAGCTATCCAAACCCAAACTTAGATTGTTAGTCCACTTTTGAGAAATTACAACCTGGGGGCCTGGGGACRGAAGCGCTGTTGGGACCTAGTTTGTGAATGGCCATCTCTGCGGCTCTGCCTGCCCGGGAGCGCGGTCTGCATGGACTGCAGGGTCCTGGTGTTGGGGAGAAGGAAGTGAGCGGTCTCAGGGCTAGCTAGAGTTTTCTCATGAAGAGCCGGCGGGTGAGCATCTGAGGCTCTGTGGGCTCTAGGGTCTCTGCTATAGGTAATATGTGAACAGTGAGTTTGGCTGTGTTCCAGTAGTCCTTTATTTATGGGCCCTGAAATTCGAATTTTGTATAATTTACATGTGTCAAGAAAATAATTTTTTTTTTAACTATTTGAAAATAAGAAAATTTCTCATAGTTGACAGGCCACACAAAGGCAGGCAGGGGACCTGAGCTGAGAAGCTGCTGCTTACTCAGAACTCAAGAAACCCAAACACCTGCCACGGGGTCGGCAGGTACGGCGAAGCCTCGTGGTGCGGTCTGTGAACACTTCCCAGTTCATCTCTGTTGTGTTTCTGTGTTCAAAGAATATAAACTAAAGCATGTGTTTTAAATAAGCATTATTGGAGAGCATGGACGGCCAGGTTCTCAGGCACAGCCCCAGGCGGCCGTCTGTGTACTGTGCTGTGAAGATCTTCTTGGGAACAGATTTTTGTCTTTTAGTCAGGAAAAAGTCTTTTTTGGAAAGGAGGCTGAACTGAAGGCAGCCTGCAGGCATCTGAACGGGGAGCCTCAGCACCCTGACTTGCAGGGTGTACAGACGCAAGTGTGAAGCCAGCAGGTGAGCCGGCTGGGCTTCCTGGCCCGTCACCCGTGGCTGGGCTGGGCCTGTGTCCTCCGTGGCCACACCCCTCCGGTCTCAGCTTGTGCCACTGCACTGGGACTGTAGAAGGGGAGGAAGATGGAGCTGCGCTCCTCTTTATAGGCACCATTGGAGACGTCCGTATTCAGGTGGATTCCCTCCTTTACTGAGGCTTTGGCACTCTTAGCACTTGGCTCTGTCCAGCTGGGAGGCCTCTGGACACTCAGCTCATGTTGGGCCTTGCCCTCSGCCAGGACCCTCAGCACTGGGTCCGTGTTTCTGCTCATGTGACTTGACTTTGTGAGGAGCAGCATATCTATTTGATGGGTTTAGGGATCCCTTGTTTTAGCTCCCCGTCTGGCTCGTCAGTCAGGAGAACGGTTTTACCATTTCCCAGTTAACCACCCTGTGTAGGGAGGTGTTCAGATTGTCCCCAAGTTGTCTTACCGWGAAGGGACTAGTTGGGTGACACCCCCTGCACGTTCATGACCGTGTGCTAGGAAGAGTCTGCACGTCTGAGATGCTGGCTGTYATGGTGATTCAGTGCTTCATGGTGAGACAGGTGGACTTGCCCTCTTCAGGAATCTGGAGGCAAGGTTTTTGAGCTGGGTGGAGTGCTGGGGGCCTGGGTGGCCTGAGGGTGGTGTGGACAGCGTCCCTGTGCCTGGGACTCCTCAGCCAGGCAGCAGCCGGGGGCCGGGCCCGGGCTCTGCTCCCCTGGACCCCAGGATGGCCCCTGCGCGTCCCTGTTAGCAGCACCCCTGAGACATACCCGAGTGCTCTTGTGTTTTGGCTTGGTGTGTATGCTTTCACTTGTGTAAAATCGCAGTTCTTTTGACAATTCAAAGTGACTCGTTTCATTTACTATAACTTTAAAAAAACAAAAATTGTAAAAAAAAAATTCCAATGATTGTGTTGTGGTTGGAGATTTTATTACCAAGATGTTTACACCTGCCCTTTCCCTGTCGTTTTGAGGGGCTGTTTGGCGCTCTGCTCCCTGATGGCTTGTAGTCTTTCCTATGTCATAATAAAGCTACGTTTTATTCTGCAGCCTGGCCTGTTCTTTCCTTACCGACACAGGGTGGCCGGAAGTGTGAGCCTCGGAGTGCGAGCAGCAGCTGGAGAAGTGGCCTGGCCCCATGGTCGTGCTAGGCCTGGGAAGCCCTGTGCACYCTTCCTTGGCCCACTGCTGTTTGACCTCATTTCTCCTGGTGTGGACAGGAAGAGGACATGGAGGGCTCAGGACAGCCACATGCCTTCAGACTGGCGTGCATGAGAGTCGCCCAGGGACCCTCAGGRGCAGGAATTGTGCCGGGGTGGGATCCGCTGGCCTGGTTGTGGCACAGGAGGTGCACTGGTAGCAAGCTTCCCAATGATGAGAAAGCTGCGGGTGTAAGCAGAGGAGAAGTAGAGCCATGGCTTTGTGTCTGTCAGATTTTTTTTTTTTTTTTTCCAGTGCTGGGGATGAAACCCAGGGCCCTGTGCATGATAAGCCAGCACTCTACCACTGAGCCACACCACCAGCCCAGCTGGGTGTATTAAGAGGCAGTTCCACATTCATACCTTGATTCTCAGACCCGTGTGCTAGCTGGCTGTGTCGGGGGGTTGGGGTGGGTCATATAATAGTTAAAGCACCGTATTTCCCCTGTCACAGCCCCATCCCTTCACCATTACCAAGTTCTCCATAAGCCCAGCGACTTCCAGGTGGTATGTTAGAGCAGCTAAGTCCCACAGATGAGTGCCTGTTCCTGCAGGTCCTCACTGTGGATCAGGCTTTRACCAGAGCAGTCACTGGTGGGGGCCTGAGACAGGGTGCAGGTACAATGGGCAGGGCAGGCGAATCCATACCTAGACATGGCTGTTCTCTAGTGAAGGCAAACAGCCCTTTCATGTTGAAAGAGACGCGGTTGAGCCTCCTGGGAAATGACACTGGGCCCAGAATTGGCCAGAGTCTGTCTGGGGCAGATGAGGAGCTTTGGGAGTGCCACCTGGTGGGCCTTGGTGAGGGAGGGCGTATGATGTTGATCTTGTTGGGCCTTATTGCTGTGCAGTGGCCATGTTCACGGGCCCCCTGAGCAAGTGAAGGGCTCAGAGAAGTGGGCCACATGCATAGGCACGCCATTTAAGTGTCCCTCGTGGGAATTCTCTGTGCTCCCACTGAAGAGGTCAAAGGGAGCATGAATATAGACATCTTCATAGTGTCTGCCGATTCTGAGAGGTCTGTCCATCACAAGGATGATGTGCTGCAGCCCACTTTGTGTGTTCCCTGACATTTAGTGCTTTGGGATCCCAGCCAAGGAAGTGACAGTTGAGCCGGTGGGGGGTTGGTGGTTCCACACAGGACAGCACAAGTAAAAGTCCTGGGGCCGCAGAGGTCCTGGTGAGTGCTGAGGCCCAAGAGGCTGGGGAGAGGAAAGACCACACTGAACCTTCACAGACTCCACCCTCAACCACCTCAGGACAATGGGGGAGCAGGTAGATCACTTCCTACAGTTAAGGACTGCCAGACTAGTTGAACTGTGTTCTAGGCACCCCTGAGAAGTTAAACAGAGAAGGTCACGAAGGTATCATACGAATGTCAGCCTGCAAAGGAAGAGCTGTGGGCCCCATCTTTTTCACTGATGCACTGGGGGTGAAAGGACCAGGCACAGAGTTGTATCCTGCATCAGGTAGACCCTGGGGTCCAATTTCAACCAGAGTGAACCTGAAGCCCCAATCTRGACCAGTTTAATGGCTGCCTTCAAGTGTGCACACACACCCCTGAAATCACACCCGTTTTACTCCAGGACCTCGGAACCCATCTGAGACAATATCCATGCAACGAATTCCCCAAGGCGAATCCAGACTCTTTGAGCCCCTCCCGCCCCATCCTGCCGCCCACAGGAAGCAGTCGATGCTATGGAGAGCACGCGCTTCTCAGAGGAGATGGGAGTTCTCGCTGGGGCTCAGCGGGGTCCTGAACTAGCGATTCCCCTCTGAGGCCCCCAGACCCTCATCTGGAAAATGAGAGGAGGGGGAGGCTATCAGGAATGGTTGGAAGGTTTCCCKACCTTTTCCTCCCTGTTCCCCTGGTTGTGGCACAAAAAAGTCACAAGTGGTTTAAAGTGGGAGCCAGCAGAGCGTCCTTAGTCCATTTCTGACACTCGTAAAGAAGGGACGTTTATTGTCTCATGGTCTGAGGTCTAAAGACATGGTGCCAGCATCTGCTGAGCAGCTCCGTGCCACGTCTTCACGTGGTGGGCACCGCAGGGTGACACGCTGCACGTGTGCTACAGAGCACACACTCCTAGCCCAGCCTCTCCTGCCACAGGCTCTCCACACTGCTGCCCTGGGCACCAGATTAGATATCCAGCATGAGATCTTTGGGGGACACACACCACAGCAGCGAGGAAGTCATTTTTATGGATTGTTAACTGGAAAGTCTAAAAAGACAAGATGATCCTGTCTGACCCGCAAGTCCATTCATTTCAACAACTATTTAATGTTCCATATCCCCAAGGGACCAAAGCCGAAGTCCTCCTCACGAGTAGAGGGTGCGGTCTGGCGGACGGGTAGAAGTGGGCTTGTGCTGTGCTATGGAGACAGGCACAGGCAGGGAGGCAGGGCCAGCGTGGGTGGGAAAGGGTCTTCAATGTGACCACCTTGGAGCCCAGGCCTGCAGTACCCGAGGAGCACCGGGCCATCAAGGTGGGACATTCCAGGTAAAACACCTGGCCGCGGATGGGGTGCCCTGGGGAGTTCAGTGTAGTCTATCCATTGAGTCAGTTCTAAGAGTGGAGTGTGGG